GGCGGGATCAGACCCCCGGTACTGCTAACGTCACTCGCACTTTTAGCCTGCGGTTCAGGGAAAACATCCTGATTCGGCTCCTCGCAGTAGTAAAATACACAACGTATTTGTGAGGAAGCCCTAAAAATCTACCTGTCGCTGTAAAGACTGCCTCTGGTGTAAGGGAGATGGCATGGCTGACAGGCTCCTCGCTCACGCAGACACTGAAGTCCGCAGAGAGGTGACAGCGCGCAAGGCAAGGCGGAAATTTGGCCAAACGTGAGCGTTTTTCCTCCCCCTCCCCCTCTACCTTTGCCCCTGCCGTCGCAGTGCCTTCCCCTTTGGAAGCAGTCAGACCTCCTCCATCACGATGTTTGGGATCAGGGTATTCCTACAAAAATTCCTGATTCTTCTGCATGTCACTATGAGTGTTGTCGTTGGCAAAACACTGATGATACTGTTTCCTGATGCCATGAGAAGATACATCCTAAAACAGGGCGAAAAGAGCAGAATGAACGAGAATCCAAAGTTCAGCTACGAAAATTGGGGTCCGACTTTTTTCAGCTTCAAGTATTTGCTCTTTGTACTGAAGGTGAAGTGGAAGAGGCTGGAGGATGAAGCCTATGAGGGACATCCCGCTCCCAACACACCGGTGGTGACTTTCAACGGGGAAGTTCGTCACCTCTTTGATTTCATGCAAGGTCAGTAAATCAGTCGCGTAGGTGGGCTTGGTTTGCTAAGATGATAAATGAGGAGAAGAGGCTGCCGAGGGAACAGGGACAGGCAGCTGGCAGGAGAGCGCACCACAAAGCAGACCAGACTAACACACGTTCTCTCCAGCTGTCTGCCTCTTGATTTTCAAAAACGACCTGTATTTATAATCCTGGCTACAATATTCCTTATGAACCTCCTGGAAAAGCCAGCTCTGCCTGGAAATACCTCTTCACTGAAAGCCAAGATAATAATTTATTTTAGGGAGAGAAGACCCAGAATCAGAACCACGTGCTGCGATTCCCAAGTGTTGGCTGTCGATCCCTCTACGTGCAGAAAGTCCCACACCAGCTCCCTTAGCCAGCCCAAAGCCTAGAAAGCACACGGTGGGCTTTTTTCCAGCTTCAAAATGGCTAGAAATAAAGCAGAAGAAAAAGAAGTTGCTTTGTACTTTGTCCGCTGCCTCCCACTGAGATCTCTGTAGAACGTGGAATTAATGATTAAGCTGCAGTCTCTATCCCCATGGGAGGGATTATAGACTACTTTAACTCTGCTTTTCTAATTTTACATATTTAGATATATATTTCTATAGAAAATAGAATGCCCATCTGAACAAGAGATACACAATATCTACAGGAAGGTACCCTCTCCATTAGATTCTTTAGGATATGGATCTATGCTAGCAGCAGTTTCTGAAGTTAAGCCCGGCCACAAGGAAGATCCTGAACAAATTTCAGGTAATTTAGCATAACCATAGACTAAACGAGGTGCTTAAAAATCCTGCAAGTTCTCTTAAATCAAGGCCTTGCAAACAGATGCTAACACCTGTGGGCACATACTGTGTTAATTTGTAAGCCAGTGCCTTGTGTAACATTAGTTTAATAAATAATAATACATAACCAGAGTTCTGTTTGGACAGGAAATTGCAGAAATACATTGAAGGCATGAAAGCCTGTGATGCGGAACTGAAAAGTCTGGAGCTTCCACTGAGCTCAGCTAGAACAGACACCTCCAAAAAACGTCAGATCCAATAGATTCACTAAACAGCATTAAGA